TCATCATTATGACATGAACATATGTTAGGTAGCAATGATTTGCGGGCTATGTTATAGACAAGGTAAGGTGGGGGTGGGGGCGGGGGGGGGGTGGGGTGGGGCGTAGCCCTGTTTTTCTTGTCTTCAATTTCAGCCAAGCTGTATTTATCCATGATTTCCAATGATGGGATTATGTTACGTACTTTACGATGAGATTATGTCACATACTGGCTAAAGGTAGCCCGGTTTTGGCCACCGCGACGTTTTATCGTAGATGGCTTGGGGGGGGGGTAGCCGGGTTTTTGCCATGATGCTATGTCACACACAGCATGTGGCCGATTGGGCCGATGTGACCAATGTGGCCGGTGTGACAGTCTCGTTTTGCTGGCCGCTGCGGTCGGCTATCTAGGTCAGGGGAAAGCGAATCAATAACGGCGTCAAGTGCCACAGAAAACCGTAAAAAAACACAACAACCAAAAAAAACCGGGAGCTTGAAAATGTCTCGCAAATCCGAGTGCTTAAAGGTGATGAGCAAACAGCAACAACGTCAAGGCCTGGGGGGGGGGGGCGGCAAATCGTTTGACATGGGTTAAGATTTCTTGGGCAAGAAGGTGACAATTTAAAACAAAACAATTATGATATTTTCAATGATTTATAACTCGTGTTCGACGAGCTGTAGTCAGTCGAAGACATGACAATGTCTTATAAAAGCGTAACTGTCTAAATGAGTCACCACAAGAGAAGAACTGCTTTGATGCAAAAAGGAAGAAGGCTGGAGTTGAGAAGAGGTTAAATAAAAAATCAATACCACTCTAAAAAAAGAAAAACAACCAAACAAACAAGAACTATTGATTGTTTTTTCCTTCCTCTGCTGGGATGTTATTATAATACAGAATGAAGATTTCTCTTATCACTCTAATGTACTGGAACATGCATCTAAACCTCCGTAAAAGATTACAAAAAAAAATATTTTTACACTAAGAGAAAATAATGTTCAAATGGTTCTGCTGAGTGACTTCGTATCCATTTGGCCTTGATGCTGGGGTTTCAAACGCCAGCGCAGTTCGAGTCGTACGAGCCTTTGAAGTGCACCAACATTACCGTCCTGTTTGACAGAACAGCATGAGAATCGGCACACGAGTATTACATATTAATGTACATATGAAATGTTGTATGTTGAAAACAAGACTTGAAATACCGTACGACAGCGTATTTTTATGTTATGCAATTTTCATACATGTGTTTTTGTCGTTCAGTATTAGCTGCTGGTGTGGGAATTCATCAGCTGAAATAAGAATATAACCGATTAAATAGACTAAATCAAGAAATCACAAACTAAAAACTCCTTTGTTGGAGGAACGGTTTCAAGAAACAATGCTCTCTTAAAACAATTTTTTTTTTGTGTGGATGCTCCATCCCACCGACTTCATCACGGATACCCTAAGATCAGCTCAATCAGAGCGAATTATTTATCTTAAAGTTGGCACCGAAAAATAATAATACTTTTTTTTTTTTACCCCAGTCTGTACAAATTTACCAGAGTGCTCCCCCCAGCGTTTAACAAATCTAAATGATCTCTAATTATGTCATGATTGTCTCTAAAAGATTTAGTTGATGGCTGATTTCTACGCTAGAGAAATACTTTAGATGTCTTCTGTTTAAATTGTTATATTTGTAAAATGTTGTCTTGGTTAAAAAATATGTATTTATTAATGTACTCAACATGGATTTTTAGAATTTATTTTAAAAAAAAACAACATTTCCACATATTTGAACCAATAAAGAATCTTATCTTATTTCATCTTGTCTCAACTCATGTTATCTTATCTCATCTTATCTTATCAGATTTGAGTAAGGGGTGACTAAAAAAAAACCCCACAATTTTAAGCTGAATTTATGTGTTTTTAATGCTGATATTTTCTAACAATTAACAAATCCAGAATTTGGTCTTTTAAGCTCGATTACTTGTCATCTAGAAAAATTGATTGTTGGTTCCAGGTCCAGTGCTAGACAGTGCCCCATACTATCACACTAAAGATCCATCAGTACGTCTGACATTTTCAGGAACTTCTTTGACATTTAGGAAATAGATTGGTTTTTGGCACGGGGGCCGGGGGGGGGGGGGGGGATAGATCCAGACACAAGCCGTGTCAGCAGGAAACGGGTGGGGGAGGGAGGCAATGACGACAAGACAATGAGAGGGCCAGGTGCATGGACAACAGGAAAGGAGTCATTTTCAGGAACTTCTTTGACAGTAAGGAAATAGATTGGTTTTTGGCACGGGGGCCGGGGGGGGGGAGGAGATAGATCCAGACACAAGACGTGTCAGCAGGAAACGTGTGTGGGAGGGAGGCAATGACGACAAGACAATGAGAGGGCCAGGTGCATTGACAACACGAAAGGAGAGCCACCTGGACAGCTGCAGGAACAGCTAAATGGATAGCCACATTAACATTCGTGTGGACAGATGTATGGACAGCTGAATGGGATAGCCGGGTGGACAGCCGGATGGACAGACACATGGGATGCAGCATGGACAGCCAAATGAATAGCCACATTGACAGTAGAGACCGACCGCAAGTGATTTTCTGATTTCGGCCGAAGCCGAAAATAGGCCGAAAGTTTAAAATGACTTTCGGCCGAAACCGAAAAAAGGCCGAATGTTTAAAAATGACTTCCGGCCGAAACCGAAAAAAGACCGAAAGTTAAAAATGAATTTCGGCCGAAACCGAAGCCGAAACCGAAACCGAAAATGAAATATTAAGATATTTTGAAATTCGTTTCCGCATACATTCAATTTACATCGAAAAGGATGTGGGAAAATATAATTATTTACATTCTTTTTATAAAAATGAGATAATCGTAAATATTAATACATAAAAATCTAATTTAGGGTTCTCAAACTCGCGGCCAGCGAGCCATTTGTGACCCGCAAGACGATATTTTGCGGCCCGCTACATGACAGAAAAGTTTAGTGTAAATGTGCCGGCCCGTTTCCCCCATTCTCATATCCATAACGTGACTCTCAGCGATTGTTTCTGATTCTAATTCTGATTTTTTTTTTTTTTAATGTCTCTATATATTTTTGTATGCCAGCTCTCTGGCAACAGTGAGTAGGTGGATGAAAGTGAATCCTAGATCTTGAGAACCCTTAATGATTTTTTTGTTATTTTTAAAGGTTGACCAGATTGTAACAGTTGTAATCGCTTTTTTGTGGATTACTTGATGCGGCCCACTCTCATACAGACACTACCTCCTGTGCCCCCCCCCCCTCCCCCCATAATTTGAGTTTGATACCCTTGATCTAATGAATACTTTGGATTTTACCATTTTAATATAAAACTAATTTAAATTGCTTTACAATTGTTTTCAAATTTGTATGGTAGGAGAAAATTCGGCCGAAATTGGGGGGTGGGGGGGGCGGGTGGAGGAGGGGAAATTAATGCAAAATATTTTATTTTTTTTGAAACCGGGTCTCTAAAAAATGTGGTTCTAAAAGATCACTTAATTTGTTCTTAAAGATCGCTTAGTTTGTTGTTAAAGACCGTTTAATTGGTAGTTATTGATCGGTTAGTTTGTTGTTAAAGATCGGTGAGTTTGTTCATAAAGATCGCTTAGATTGTTCTAAAATATCGCTTAGTTTAATCTTAAAGATCGCTTACTTTGTTCTTAAAGAAAGCTTAGTTTGTTGTTAAAGATCGTTTAGTTTGTTGTTAAAGATCGTTTTGTTTGTTGTTAAAGATCGTTTAGTTTGTTGTTAAAGATCGTTTAGTTTGTTGTTAAAAATCGTTTAGTTTTTTGTTAAAGATCGTTTAGTTTGTCGTTAAAGATCGTTTAGTTTGTCGTTAAAGATCGTTTAGTTTGTTCATAAAGATCGCCTGGTTTGTTGTTAAAGATCGTTTAGTTTGTTCTTAAAGATCGCATTAGTTTGTTGTTAAAGATCGTCTGGTTTTTGTTAATGATCGCTTTATTTGTTCTTAAAGATCGTTTAGTTTTTTATAAAGATCGCTTAGTTTGTTCTTAAAGATCTTTCAGTTTGTTTTTAAAGAACATTTAGTCTTCTGTTAAAGATCACTTAGTTTATTCTTATAAATCATTAAAGATCATTTGTTTTGTTCTTAAAGATCATTTAGTTCGGTTTTAAACATCGTTTAGTTTGTTCTTTAAGATCGTTTAGCTTGTTATTAAGGATCGCTTAGATAGTTCTTAAAGATCGCTTAGTTTGTTTTAAAGATCGTTTAGTTTGTTCATAAATGTCTTTTAGTTTGTTATTAAATATCATTTAGTTTGTTCTCAAAGATCGCTTAATTTGTTCTTAAATGTCGCTTAATTTTTTTGTAAAATATCGCTTTCGCTTAGTATTATGACCGAAAACCTGAGTAACTTTCGGCTGGATGGCTGAAAGTCTAAGTCAATTTCGGCCGAAACCGAAGAAAACCCGAAAGTTAACTTTTCTCTTTCGGCCGAAACCGAAATTTAGCCGAAAGTTAACTTTCCAGTTTCGGCCGAAACCGAAACTTGGCCGAAAGTGATAAAATGGCCACTTTCGGCGCCGAAACCGAAGCCGAAGCCGAAATTCGGTCGCCTCTAGTTGTAAGGTAACTTTAAAAACAGTACCTTTGATAAGACTCAAGTCACAATCACGTGAAAAGAAAAATATCCGACAATATCCGACATTTATTCCTTGTGTTTATGGTTCATTGTTTAACTTGCATGTGACGTATATGCTATAACATTGTCTTTAATATGTATGAATTTTTAAAAAATTTTTAACATGTTTTATTTTTAAAAAGAAACAAAAAAATGACTGCGAATTGAGCCCCCCTCTCTCAAACTGTAACAATTCACGACAGCATTGGCGACAGATTTAAACCTCTGTCTCTGGCGACATGAAAAGTGGAACCTATAATTGTCAGTGACCTATATTGGTTTCTTATGTAGCCATATATTAAGATCTTCCCCCCCCCCCTAACCCATATTTTTTTAAAAATATTGATTTATTTATTTTGTTTTTGGTCCCAGCTGATGGAAAGGATAAATCCCCGTGGTGGTGACCTCAGCCCCGACTACGCGAATGACGATGCCGATCGTCGGGATAAACATGTCGGTGACGGCAGCCGTCGGCAGGTCATCCCCAACGTCAATGACGCCAGCCCAGAAAAACTTGCCTCGGAACGATCTGATTGGCTGGGTCAGAGCGTGCACAGGAAAACAAGAGCCGCCGCCCCCCGCGACGGGCACCAGGGTCAAGGTCACAGCGTCCACGCCCTGGCCCGGGTCGTGGTCGAGAGACTCTCATCTCGAATCCAATACTTGAAAAAATCGCTGGCCGAATGCTACGTCGCCTACAGCAAATGGAACATACGCCATTCGTAATCGTTTACTCCTTTAACTTAGACCTACTTAGCTGACAGTTTAATTGGCGTATGTGGGTTGAAAAGGGCTTCCATAATCTTTTTTTTTTTTTTATTTGCAGCATCGCACCACCTCTTAGTTTGAAAACATTTCTCAAATTCCCCATGATTTACAAAAATTGCTAATAAAAAATTGAAATAACCTCTTTTTTCCGGGTCTTCCCGCACTACCTGAAACTGACCACACTCCCCCCCCCCCCGACAAGCCCCTGATGTATGATTTAAATCATTTTATTTCTTTCATATAATATTTTTGCGAGTCCAATTTGTTGAAGTAATTGTGCAATTATTCAAATTATATATATATATATATATATATATATATATATATATATATATATATATATATATATAT